TATAAATAAACCTCGTCTTTGATTCAAATTTTTAATTAATTTAATTGATTTTTCATAAACCTCTCCTCAAAAAAAAAATTTTTTCACCATTCCTTTTCATCAATAATTTCCTCAAAAGCCTAAATCACAAATAATAATACATAATGTATAAATATTCTGCGTCAACTTCACCAACTCTTTCCGCAAGAACCTCACATTCTCTCACTCATTCAATTAGAACAGCTGAGGCGACTTCTGGTAAAATGGTCATTCTTACTCGTGCTGATATACGTGCCTCACTTGAAGCATATGAACAGCTTTTGGCTTCTGCAAAGATATACAGGAATCAAATGATAGCTCTTTCACAGGCCACCGCTAATTTTGGTCAGTCATTGGAAAGAATTGCTCGTTGTAAAGGAGCTTTAGAAGATGGTTTGCATTGAACAATTATTGCCATGAGATGAATTTATTTATCACTTTACCAATTATGGTAATTCTTATTCATGCATTTATGCATATTGGTTCAATTGTTATTTATTAGGACCAAATTTTCAAGCTGCTGCTGGCTTACATTTTCTTATGTCAAATCATTATCAACTTTTGGTAATTTACATACATACATATGTGCGCATATTTAAATCATTATTTATTCATCCATTAGTGATTTAAAAAAAATTTTTTTTTGATTGATAGGGTGATACATTTTACAAAAATTTTGAAATCCCATTATTGGAAAATCTTGATACGCATAAATCAACAGTCATTGCAAGCGAGGAAAATTATGATAATACATTAACAGAGATGAGTAACAAAATTAAAGAAACGGAGGCAGAAAATTTACGAATTGGTCTTAAACGTCAAAGAGGTAAAAAAATTTAAATATCGTCATCGTTATAATTTGGATTTATTTAATTAATGATAATAATAATAATAAATATATTTATAATTAGATCTTACACAGTTTCGTAGAGTATGTATTTTGAATATAGGAGGGGAAAAGATGATTATTTGTAAAGATGTTTTAATTTAATCTAATTTTAATTTAAATTTTTTCTCCAAAAATAATTGTAACTATAATTGTGTTATTGAAAAAAGGCTTTACAAGATTTGACTAGACAAGTAGAAGATTTAGATCGGATGAAAACTGAATATCACAGGCAAACATTAGAAACTGAACAAAATAATCTTAAATTTATTCTTTCAAAAGTCTCGACAGTTATTAAGGCTGAAGTAGATATTTTTGATAGAATATCTAGTAAAGGTTTAGCGGATCCCTTGTTAGACACCGTAAGTAATTTATTAATAAATATATCAAATTAAATATTGAATTGGTTTGTTCGTCCATTTCCATTAACTCCTTTTGGTTTTTAGATGGTAACACAAGGTACAGATCCTTTCTGCACATATCAAACTGCAGATCAATTTTCTGAGATATTTAGCGTTCTTCCGCCAGTTCCAATAATCAATCATACTGCCGACATTTCAAGCACAACCACAACAGTACTAAACAGTTTTTCAAATGATTTTCAAATTTATAGTGATGAGAATAATTATTATCGTCCACAATTGTCAACCCAAAAAGAAATTGTTGGTGATGATGATGAGGCTCAAGGAACCTCTAAGGGTGTTTTTTATTCAAATAATCATCACTCTAAAAAA